GAGAGAGAAAGAGAGAGAGAGAGAGAGAGAGAGAGAGAGAGAGAGAGAGAGAGAGAGAGAGAAAGGGAGCGAAAAGAAGTTTATCCGCGCTTTGCCGCCGGACACGCTAATTTCACGTCAATTACCGCGCGATACGTAAACACCGTAATCGCGCCCCATGTCTTCCCGATGTAACGTTAAACGTACGTCAGCTCGTCTGTTAAAACGCGATGGAATAGGAGAGGCACGACTTCATTTACGTTCCGACTACCGATGCCGCGATTAAATACGCCTGACGTAACTATTACGACGTGTTGCTTTGACCCCGATAAGTGAACGCGCTAATTTTATATTAATAGGTAGAAAAACGGCTTTCTTGCTTTTTAACCCGCTCCGCGATGAATGGGGAAGAGAAACGAAGTTTCCTTGTGCGAAGTCACACGAGAGAAGACGTTATGAAAGCGGCGAGTCGTTAAAAATGAACGTCGCGCGTAGAGTTCACGGCTCTCGCGCCAGAATCGATACCGCGGTCATTATCGGGGGAGGGGAAAGGTGGGATGGTTAATTACCCGGCTGTCGAAATGATTATTCGCGCTCAGAGGAGCACGCATTCACGTCGCCCGATGCAGATTAGATACAGATTAGACTGACGATTGGGACTGCGTGACGATTCATTTCGGAAACGAAGCGAAACACCCGGCGTTTTCTGGCGGTCGTAATTCGCGAGAGCGAAACCAGTCACGGCGCTAGTCATTATCGCGACACGCCGGACGTTTCTCACGATCCCGTTAACTTTATCAAACGCTCGTATTTATGTGGAACGAACGAGGCAAAAGTTTGAGCCGGCGACCGTATGCTTATCTCATAATGCGATCTTAAAGCGGCATACCGCAGTCCCGCCGCAATTAATAATGCATTTCGCATACGTTACTGTACTGCGTTTCGTTATAGTGACACACCTCGATTAGCGTAATAACACGCTCGCGCGCGCGCCGCACATGTGAACATTCTACTTTTCATTTCAAACGAATTCACCGCGCGGTCGCGTATTATCACGAGCGTTTCCACGCTTTTACCTTCCGTCGCATTAAATTGGGCGAGATGATGCCTCCGACCCGCCCGCTCTTTTTAACCCTCGCAATACGAATCCTCTAACCTTCTGACCGTAATAAGTAATAAACTTATCTCGACTCGGTTGTCGGCATTATCGCCATGGTGATATATCGCGACGACTTTTGCTGGAAGTTTATCCCTTCAAGTGAACAGGAAGGTCATTCGTGTCCGGCAACTTTTAAGAACTTTGCATCTCTCCTCACCTCGAAAGTTTTAAGGCTTCATATGTATATCCAAAAAAAGATTTAAGAAATTCCTTTGGAAACCTATGGAAAAACTTATGGAAAATTACAAAAATTATAATTTTTTAAATAAAGTAACTTCTTTAATAGATTCTTGTTCAAAAACAATTAAAAAATTATATTAAACTTTTATCTTTTTTTAAATAACTTCACCTATTAATTGAGGTTTGAAACAAGCCATATAAATTTTTTCAAAATTCTTTCAAGTTGATAAAAACAAGTGTCAGACACGAATAACTCTATCCACTACTAAGATGTTGAACGTATCTATATTCATCGTAATGGTTATTAACTAGTATTTATTCTCACCAGAGCGCATGTTCTCTACATTCATGAATTGAAAATAGCTAAAGCTCAAAGTAAGAAAATAAAGCTCGAGTATGCAATAAAGTATCAGTTCGCGAAAATGTAATTACATTTAAGAACGCACGTAAGCCGAGCCACGCGCTCGAGGGTTAAACGTTGCCGCGAGGGTCGGAGGACGAGGGGAAGCAGCCAAGGATACGAGAGAGCGAAGAAGAAAAGGACCAGTCGTGCGGCACGGTCACAGAAAGAGTAGAAAAAGTCGGCCGGGGGGGTAAAAACGAGGAGGTGGAGGAGAGGTTCCTCGAGAATGGGGGCATTAGCATAAGCTAAGCCGAGCTAAGCGCGCCCATATAGCACGGAAATAAATAGCCCCCCGTCTCGTATCTACGGCAGGATGCTTTAGCATGGGCCATCGCCGTGGTCTCCGCCGCTGCCATCGTCCTCATCCTCGACGACCCCCCTTGACTGAAACCCACCGGCCCGCCGCGCGGGTCGTGTGCGTGCAAACACGTGCGTGCACGTAGCAAAGAGAGGACACGCCGAGAGCAAGATCGCCCGGGCCGAAATCCTCTCGTCGCGATGGTATTGGTGATGGTCGCGATGGTGGTGGTGGTGGTGGTGGTGCAGTGTGGTTCCTCCTGGAGAAAGGAGCAGATGGGCTGGGAGATAGCTCGCGCGAGCGCTCGTTCGGACAGGATGCGGTTGTCATCGGATGCGGCGAGAGAGAAAGAGAGAGAGAGAGAGAGAGAGAGAGAGAGAGAGAGAGAGAGAGAGAGAG